TTTGTACCTACTTTGAGCCTAGTTTGTACGTACTTCGACCATAGTTTGAGCCTACTTTATACCTTCTTAAATCCTACTTCGAACCTACTTTGTAACAACTTTAAACCTAGTTTGAGCCTACTTTATACCTACTTCTGAACTTCTTTGAACCTACTTCAGACCTACTTTAGTCTAATGTGGCCCTTCTTAGACCTAATTTGGACCTACTTTAGACCTACTTTGAACCTACTTTAGACTTACTTCTGACTAACATTGTACCTACTTTTGCCCTACTTAGAACCTAAATTGCGCTTACTTTGAACCTTCTTTACACCTACTATGGGCCTCCTTTGAACATACTTCGGAACTTCTTTAAACCTACTTAAGACCTACTTTGAACCTATATTGAACCTTCATTAAACCTACTTTGGACCTATTTTTAACCTACCTTATAGGCTAACTTCGGAACTACTTCGAACTTACATTAGACCTTATTTGGACCTACATTGAACCTACTTTAGACCTACCTGGGATCTATTTTAGACCTACATTAGACATTTTTCGGACCTATATTGAACCTACTTTAGACCTACCTGGGATATATTTTAGACCTACTTTAGACCTTCTTCGGACCTAAATTGAACCTTTTTTAGATCTACCTGGGATCTATTTTAGACCTACTTTGAACCTTCTTTAGACCTACCTGGGATCTATTTTAGACCTACTTTAGACCTTCTTCGGACCTACTTATACCTTCTTTAGACCTACCTTGGATCTATTTTAGACCTACTCTAGACCTTCTTCGGACCTACATTGAACCTACTTTAGACCTACTTGGGATCTATTTTAGACCTACATTAGACCTTTTTCGGACCTACATTGAATCTACTTTAGACCTACCTGGGATATATTTAAGACCTACTTTAGACCTTCTTCGGACCTAAATTGAACCTTCTTTAGATCTACCTGGGATCTATTTTAGACCTACTTTGAACCTTCTTTAGACCTACCTGGGATCTATTTTAGACCTACTTTAGACCTTCTTCGGACCTACATTAAACCTACTTTAGACCTACCTGGGATCTATTTTAGACCTACATTAGACCTTTTTCGGACCTACATTGAACCTACTTTAGACCTACTTGGGATCTATTTTAGACCTACTTTAGACCTTCTTCGGACCTACATTGAACTTTCTTTAGACCTACTTCCGTCTTACTTTGGACTCATTTTGCCCTACTTCAGACCTTCTTCGGACCTATTTTGAACCTTTTTTAGACCTACTTTAGTCCTACTTTAGACTCATTTTGCCCTACTTTGGACCCTCTTCGGACCTACTTTGAACCTTCTTTAGACCTACTTTAGTCCTACTTTGGACTCATTTTGCCCTACTTTGGACCCTCTTCGGACCTACTTTGAACCTTCTTTAGACCTACTTTAGTCCTACTTTGGACTCATTTTGCCCTACTTTAGACCTACTTCAAACCTACTTTGAACCTGCTTTGGACATATGTTTTACCTAATTTAGACCTTTTTTGAACCTACATCCGTCCTACATTAAGCCTTATTTTAAACCTATATTTGACCCTGTTTTTTGAATCTATTTTATCATAAAATAACCAGTAAAGTATCATCGATAAGCAATAATAGTAAGCCACATATTTTTACGTGGAGAATATAATTTTTAATATATAAAGTTTTACATTCGTGTCGCTGTCGTCGTCGTCGTCTATTTTATTATTTTTTTTTTCTGCTACCGGGAATAACCAACTTTTGATGAGTTACTGGCTGACATTCGCAGAACTGCGAATATCATATTGAAATGTCGATTGTAATAATGGGGGATATTGGAAAACAATAATTCTCATCTGAAAGGTATAGTATAGGCTGGACAATACTGAACATTATGGAATTCATATGATTCTAAAATCCAGAGGTTCAAAGTTATCGAATGAATTTGTCAAGGAAATGTATTTCTGCGCTTAGTACAATACATATATTATTTATATAAATTGTGTCTTTATATAGAGCGTATAGAAGAATTTCGAGAAAAAAAAATTTAAACAGCTTTTGAATAATATAAAAATATTTCAGATTTTTTTTTTTTTTTTTTTTTTAAATAGGTAACGTATGAAAATGTTTTTTGAATCAATTTTTGGAATTGTTACTCCTACTTTGCGCCTATTTTGTGCCTACTTTGAGCCTAGTTTGCGCCTACTTTGAGCCTAGTTTGCGCCCACTTTGAGCCTAGTTCAAGCCTAATTTGCGCCTACTTTGTAACTACTTTGAGACTAGTTTGCGTCCACTTTGTTTCTACTTTGAGCAAAGTTCGACCCTACTTTGCGCCAACTTTGTACCAACTAGCCTAGTTTGCGCCTACTTTGAGCCTAGTTCAAGCCTAATTTGCGCCTACTTTGTAACTACTTTGAGACTAGTTTGCGTCCACTTTGTTTCTACTTTGAGCAAAGTTTAACCCTACTTTGCGCCTACTTTGTATCTACTAGCCTAGTTTGCGCCTACTTTGAGCCTAGTTCAAGCCTAATTTGCTCCTACTTTGTAACTACCTTGAGACTAGTTTGCGTCCACATAAATTTAGAAAAAAAATGAAAATTTGTTACGGAATGACCCAAAAAAAAAATCCAAAAAACGGTTGTATTTTTAAAAAATATTAACGGATCATTGTAAAACTAAGTAATTGTGTTCTTTGCTATAAATCACATCCTTTAGAGGCAAAAAAAAAAATACAAAAATTTAGGGAACAAAAGGTACAATTATTACGGAATGACCTAAAAAAAAAATCTAGAAAAACATTTATAACTTTCAAAAAAAAAATAACTAGATCATTATGAAACTTGGTAATTATGTTCTTTGCAATAAATAGCTTTCTTTAAAGTCGAAAAAAATACAAATTTAGAAGAAAAAAGACATAATTACTATGGAATGACCCAAAAAAAAAAAATCCAAAAAACATTTATAACTTTTGAAAAAAATAACGGATCTTTATGAAATTTGGTAATTATATTCTAGGCAATAAATAACATCCTATAGAGGCAAAAAATATACAAATTTAGGAAAATAGCGCATAATTCTCACGGAATGACCCAAAAAAGAAAAATAGTAAATTTTTATTTTTTGCCCTCTAAAGAATATTATTTATTGCCTAAAATATAATTACCAAATTTTATATCGTTTTGATAATTTTTTTTTTGAAAATTATAACCGTTTTTTGGATTTTTTTTTTGGGTCATTCCGTAACAAATATACGTTTTTTTCCCCTAAATTTGTATTTTTCGCCTTTAAAGAATGTTATTCATTGAAAATTACATAAATACCAAGTTTGATAACAATTTGTTAGTATTTTTGAATGTTATAATTGTTTTTTGAATTTTTTTTTTTTTGGGTCATTCCGTAACAAATATATACTTTTTTCCTAAATTTGTATTTTTGCCTTTAAAAATGTTATTTATGACAAAAAACATAATTATTCAATTTTTTTTTATGGATTCTTTAATTTTTTTAGAAGCTGTAATCATTTTTTGGGTCATTCCATAATAAATTTTCATCTTTTTCACAAAATTTTTTTTTTTCGCCACTAGAGAATGTTATTTCTTTCCAAGAACACAATTACCAAGTTACATAAGGATCCGTTAATTTCTTTAAAAGTTATAACCGTTTTTTGGTTTTTTTTGGGGTCATTCCGTAATAAATTTCCGTTTTTTTCATAAATTTGTATTTTTTCGCCACTAGAGGATGTTATTCCTTTCCAAGAACACAATTACCAAGTTACATAAAGAACCGTTAATTTCTTTAAAAGTTAAAACTGTTTTTTATATTTTCTTTTGGGTCATTCCGTATTAAATAAACATTTTTTTTTTCTAAATTTTAATTTTTTTCGTCTCTAAAGAACATTAATCATTGCAAAAAACATAACTACCAAGTTTTATAATCATTCAGTAATTTTTATTGAATGATATAATTGTTTTTTTGGATTTTTTTTGGGGTCATTCCGTAACAAATATATACTTTTTTTCTAAATTTGTATTTTTTCGCCTTTAAAAAATGTTATTTATGACAAAAAACATAGTTTTTATTTTTTTTTTTTTATGGATTCTTTAATTTTTGTAGAAGCTGTAATCGTTTTTTTGGGTCATTCCGTAATAAATTTCCGTTTTTTTCCCAAAAAAAAAATTTTTTTTTCGCCACTAGAGGATGTTATTCCTTTCCAAGAACACAATTACCAAGTTACATAAGGATCCGTTAATTTCTTTTAAAGTTATAACCGTTTTTTGGTTTTTTTTTTTTTTTTTTTGGGTCATTCCATAATAAATTTCCGTCTTTTTCCTAAAATTTGTATTTTTTCGCCTTTAATCAATGTCATTCACTGTATTGTAATCTGTGGCATTAATTTATTTCAATTCTATAAAAATTCTCCAATACAAAAAATTACTTTAAAGAAAATTCTTCAAAATTCATACAAATAAACTTCGTCTCAATGAAAATTGAAAAAAAAAAATTTCTATTAAATGAAACTTCCAACAATTACTTTTTTTTTAAAAAACTTATTCATACTTCCCAAAAATAGCATTTAAAAAAAAAAAATAACTCATTGAATAGACTATATGATATAACCTTTTTGGTTTAAGGTAAAAACGTTGTAATTAAATTTGGATTATTTTATAATCCTCTTATGTCCTCCGTGCTATTATTGAGATAAAAAAAAAAGTGAATCCTCTATTAACGTTGTTCAAAAATAATAATAATAATAATAATAATAATAATAATAATAATAATAATTTTATGTCAATCTCACTAAGATAAAATATTTTTTTTCTCTTTTTAAAAAGCTTAAGTGAATTTTTTGAAGCTTAGTTATAATAATAATAATAATAATCGCAAAAATAGGATTAAATTCTATTTGCGATTATATATGTATAATTGAATGAGGAAAATAAAAGTTTTTCATAATTAGTATATAGAAGTTAATTCTGTAATTCTAAATCCTTTATTTCCTTTTTTTACAGGTGGATTTGTCCTGCAGAAGTACAGAATTATCTGTAAGTGCACTGTATACAAGGACCAACTTTGTGACGTTAAAATACGTGACAGACGCCTGGGGTACGGATACGAATGGCTTTAGACTAGTCATCAGTGCCATCAAGGATCCTAGTGAGTACCTTCTACCATTTCTCTCTCTCTCTCTCTCTCTCTCTCTCTCTCTCTCTCTCTCTCTCTCTCTCTCTCTCTCTCTCTCTCTCTCTCTCTCTCTCTCTCTCTCTCTCTCTCTCTCTCTTTCATCTACCAGAGTTAATTAATCACATTTCTATTAATTAACGTCAAGGACGATTTTGCGGCCATTCCGCTCCCCCCCCCCTCTCTCTCTCTCTCTCTCTCTTTACCCCCTTATTCGAGCCAATTTTGGTCTTGCAAGTCGTCTTTGATCCAGTCTCACATTACCTCTCTAAATCCGATCCCATACGTTGATGATTAAATTTCCCTTGAAGCTCAACCCTTTCACCCTTAACCCACAACCTACAAAAAAAAAACCCAGGATTTTACGTTTAGTTACGAAATATTTTCTGAAAATAAAAATAATTATTTATTTATTGTAAATCAGTTCTGTGCGAATATTGTTACAGTAATTATATTCAAAGTACTGGCAAATTGTTACTAAGCCAGTATAGAACCAGTATTGAGCCAATATTTAAAGCAATATTTATGTTTCAATACTGGCAAACTAGTACTAACCACTATAGAGCCAATATTGAGTCAGTATTGATATTAAGTACTAAAAACATTTTAGTGCCAGTATTGAGCCAGTATTTATATGCCAATACTGGTAAATTAGTGCTACGCCAGTATACAATCAGTATTGAGCCAATATTTAACCAATATTTATATTTCAGTATTGTCAAATTAGTACTAACCAGTATAGAGCCAATTCTGAGCCAGTATTGACATTTAATACTAAATAGCTGTTTAGTGCCAGTATTGAATCAGTATTTATATCTCAATACTAACAACTTAGTGCTAAGCCAGTATACAACCAGTATTGAGCCAATATTTAACCAATATTTATATTTCAGTACTGTCAAATTAGTACTAACCAGTATAGAGCCAATTCTGAGCCAGTATTAACATTTAATACTAAATAGCTGTTTAGTGCCAGTATTGAATCAGTATTTATATCTCAATACTAACAACTTAGTGCGAAACCAGTATACAACCAGTATTGAGCCAGTATTGAACCAAAATTCACATTCCAACACTGGCAAATTAATACTAAATCAGTATACAACTAGTATTGAGCCAGTATTTATATTCTAATACTTGCAAATTAGTACTAAGCCAGTTTACAACCAGTTTTGTGCCAGTATTGAACCAATATTGTACCAGAATTAATATTCAGTACTAAAAAACAGTTCAGTGCCACAATTCAACTAGTATTTATATTCCAATTCTTGTCAATTAATACTGAGCTAGTACACTACCAGTATTGCGCCAGTATTGAACCAGTATTTATATTCCAATCTTGGAAAATTAGTGTTAAACTAGTATTGAGCCAATATTAAAACAATATTCGTATTCTAATACTGGCAAATTAGTAATAACCATTAAATAACCAATATTGAGCCAGTATTGATATTTAGTACTGAAAAAAAATGTAGTGCCAGTATTCAACAAGCATTCAGAGAGTATTTATATTCCCATACTAGAAAACTAGTACTAAGGCAGTAAACCACCAGTATTAAGCCCATATTGAACCAATATTTATATTCCAATACTGGCAAATTACTACTAACCAGCATAGAACCAATATTGCGGCAATATTCATCTTTCAGTAGTGGCAAATTAGTTTAATGCCAGTATTGAACCAGTAATTATATTCCAATACTGGCAAATAAGTGCTAAGCCAAAACACAACCAGTATTAAGCCAGTATTGAACCAATAGTGTGCCATTATTAATATTCAGTTCGAAAAAAACAGTTCAGTGTCACCATTGAACTAGTATTTCTATTCCAATACTAGCAAATTAATACTTAGCCAGTATAGAACCAATATTCAGCCAGTATTGATCTTTCAAAACTGGCAAATCAGTTCAGTGCCAGTATTAAACCAATAATTATATTCCAAAACTGGCAAATTAGTGCGAAGCTAGTATAGAACCAGTATGGAGCCAGTATTGATATTCCAGTACTGGAAAACATTTTTGCGCCAGTATTAAGCCAGTACTGGATGTAATATTAACAATTTTCGTTAATTACTTATTTTCCAGTAGTGGAATATAAAAATTGGCTCAATACTGGCACTTAACTTATTTGCCAGTACTGAAAGTTCAGTAGTGGTTCTATAGTGGTTCTGTACTGGCTCAGTATTGGAATTAGCTTAGTATTGCCAGTATTGAAATATAAATATTGGTTTAATTCTGGCGAATAACCGATTTGCTAGGACTGAATGATCAATACTGGTGCAATACTGGCTAGTACTAATTTGCCAGTATTGGTAGATTAATACTGGTTTAATATTGGTTCAATACTGGCTCTGAATTGTTTTTCTAGTACTAAATATCAAAACTGGCTCATTATTGGTTCTATACTGGTTAGTACTAATTTGCCAGTATTGGAAAACAGATATTGGTTCAATACTGGCTCAAAACTTGCTTAATACTGGTTTAATACTGGCTCTGAATTGTTTTTCTAGTACTAATTATCAAAACTGGCTCATTATTGGTTCTATACTGGTTAGTACTAATTTGCCAGTATTGGAATACAGATATTGGTTCAATACTGGCTCAAAACTGGCTTAATACTGGTTCAATACTAACTTAGTACCGATCTGCCAGTATTGTGCTGTCAATATTGGCTTAATGCTGGCTTAGTAATGGTTTGCTAGTTTTAAAAAACTGGCTCAATACTGGCTCAATACTGGCTTAGTATCAATTGGACAGTATTATACTGGCTTAATACTGGCTTAGTAATGGTTTGCCAGTACTGAAGGCCTGGAAAAAAAATAAAAGAAAAATAAATTACAAACCACTAGTTGAAAAAAAAGTGTAGAAAGAGTATTTGTATACTAATTGTTGCAGGGATAGTTTTTCATCAAAAAGTTTTTTTTCTGCTCTGTTTTTTTTTCGGGGTAAGCGCTAATTACTCCGTGTGATTAATTGATACGCGGGCGACTACTAGAAGCAAAAAGAGAGACAGAGAGAGAGAGAGACCAACGTTTTGTCCTAACGGATCGATTCGATAACTAGCTATATATAGAACTCTTGTCAGTTGATTTTTTAGCTAATCTCTGTTCCAATTTCAGATTAATTAATTGTGCGGAAACAAATGAAATTTAATTAGAAAAGTTGTTTTATTTTTTAAGTCAAAATATCTGTTTCTGTTAAGTTTATATAATGTTAATGAATTAATTTTTATTTTTACTAATTTTGGCTAAAATGTTCCCAAATCAAAAAAAAAAACCATTTTACTAATTTGCAGAGAAATACAAAAATTAGGAAAAAAAGATGTACATTTACTACGGAATGACCCAAAAAAAAAAAAAAAAAAAAAAAAAAAAAATTCAAAAAACAGTTATAATTTGCGCAAAATTACCAGATCTTTATGAAAATTGGTAAATGTGTTGTTTGCAATGAATAATATCGTTTAGTGAAGAAAAAAAATTTTAATTTAAAAAAAAGCTCACAATTACTATATAGAATGACTCAAAAAAAGAAAAAAAATCCAAAAAAAAAAATAGTTATAACTTTTAAAGAAATTAGTGGATCATTATGTAACTTGATAATTATATTTTTGTGTAATAAATTTCATTCTTTAGAGGCGAAAAAATACAAAGTTTTGAAAAAGAAGAGTATAATTATTACGGAATGACCCAAAAAAAAAAAAAAAAAACGACTATAATTTCTAAAGAAATTAACGGATCAAATTTTCGAATAAATAATTGACAGAAAAACTTCAATCGAGATTTTTTTTTTTTGTGAATTTTTTGTTCGGTTATTTGATTTTTTAATTTGTTTAAATGTTAAAACCGTTTTTTAGATTTTTTTTTTGGGCATTCCGCAATAAATTTCTGTCTTTTTTTTTTTGTAAATTTATATCATTCTGCAAATAAAGGAATGTCATTTATCGTAACGAGCCTAATTACCAAGTTTTTTTTAAGTATCCTTTAATTTCTTTAGAAGTTATAACGATTTTTTGAATTTTTTTTTTTTTTGGGTCATTCCATAATAATTCTAAGCTTTTTTTTACAAAAATTTGTATTTTTTCGCCTCTAAAGAATCTGATTTATAGGAAAGAACATAATTACTGAATTTAACAACGATCCGGTAATATTTTTAAAAGCAATAATTGATTTTTGAATTTTTTTTTTGGGTCATTCCGTAACAAATATACAATTGTTCCTCTAAATTTGTATTTTGTTACCGCTAAAGTATATTATTCATTGCAAAGAACATAATTACCAAGTTTTATAAAGATTCGTTAATTTCTATAGAAGTTATAACCGTATTTTGGATTTTTTTTTTTGGGGTCATTCCATATCGAATTTTCATCTTTTTTCTAAATTTCTATTTTTTTGCCTCTATAAAATGTTATTTAGTGCAAAAAACATAGTTAGAAGTTACAACAATTTTTTTTTATTGTTTTTTGGGTCATTCCATAATAATTTTGCAATTTTTTTTACCTAAATTTGTATTTTTTTTTTGCGCCACTAAAGGATGTTATTCATTGCAAAGAACATAATTAACAATTTTCATAAAGATTCGTTAATTTCTATAGAAGTTATAACCGTTTTTTGGATTTTTTTTTTGGGTCATTCCGTAGTAAATTTTCGTCTTTTTCCTAAAATTTGTATTTTTTTCGCCTCTATAGAATGTTATTTATTACAAAAAACATAGTTAGAAGTTACAACGATTTTTTTTTTGTTTTTTTGGGTCATTCTATAATAATTTTGCACTTTTTTTTACATAAATTTGTATTTTGTCGCCTCTATAGAATGTTATTTATTGCAAGGAATAATTAGAAGTTAAAATCGTTTTTTGGCTTTTTTTTTGGTCATTCCATAATAATTATGCCCTTTATTTCTCTAAATTTGTATTTTTTGCCTCTAATAGATGTTATTTATTGCCTAGAATATAATTACTAAGTTTCATAAATATCCGTTA